GTCTCAGGTTTGAAGGGAGCCTTTCCAGACGCCATGTTTCTGCCTTTTAAAGATGCTCAATAGGATTAAGGTCATTGCTCATAGAATCACAAGAGTTCAGTGTTTTCCTCTTAGACTTTTTTTAGCTGCAGGAGTTTGTTAGTAGTAATAATAAACTAATAATAGATTTTAACACTATATATTCACTTTTAGTTCATTATTTAGTTTGGATATGCTTTATACAGAAAAGTGGAACACTTATGAAATTTATACTCAAATATTATATGCAGCAATTCAATGTTTCTAATCATTGTAGCCTTAAATATCCTCAACACTTCAGTTCCAGGATTAAACTTTTATTTTACACCACTGTCTCCCCATTAACACCATTTGCATGAGGGATCCAGCTAAATATACCAAAATGTAAAGTTTCTCAGTTCTTGTGATCAGGAACTGCTCACCGTTTATTGAGAAGGTGAGTCTTTTTATTATGGAAAGTTTTGGTAAATGTTTTATTTGCTCCTCTTCTGTGATGGCCCATGAGTAACGTTATACAGTAAATGTACATTAGCATGTTCTGTTGTAGGTGGCAGTGACAATCATTGTAGACGACTAAAGCAATGATCTAAAGCAGTGATATTAGAACCAGAATGAATACTTCAGAAATAAATAAACAATAAAGGTAAACGATTAATACAGCTGTCTTCAGATATTGCTTTTTTTATTGATTTTATTTCAAAACTAGTCTGAGGAGATTTACAATCTGGGTCTGTCTATTGTAAGGAATGTTGATAACAGACGGATTATGGTAGAAAAACATGCTTCGTTTTAAAGAGAAGAGCAGTGGAATCCAATCATACATGCAGTTGAGTTCAGTGTATGAATTAAATTGGTAAAAAAGTTTTCTATCAGGAAAACCAGCTTCTTTTTATTATTATTACTCTGAGAATCGAATTTCTTCTTCCTGGGCGAGCATGTAGCTCCACTAGACAGTTGTTTAGATTTTAAGTCTTGAAGTCTTTTCCTGAATATATGCAGGTCAATGGCCGACATTCAGAGGTTTGGACTGCATTTAGGTATTGAACCTGTATTTTAATATTTTGACTTTCTGTGGATCTTGGAAGGTGTGTTGGAGGAGGGGTTGGCAGAACACTAAAAAAACCAAAGGTAAATATGTCATATGACATTGTTTAGCCAGACTTAGACTTAGATTATTTTCTTTCACATAGCCACCAGAAAAAGAAATGCAGTTCAGTCCCACTGTAGGTGACTGGGAGATCAGGATTCTACCATGCCATGCGCTGCCCTTTGTGGGAAATAATGACTTTCTTCAAACAATACAGATTTTGTCCACTGGGTGGAGCCAAAATTTACCAAAACTGAAAGTTATTTTAGAACGGCTTTAAACATTTTCTCAAATGTTAGGTTCATTCTTTTTTAATCCTGTGTATTGTTAATCTGTTAGCCAGATTAGATGGAGTAGCAGGGCTTCCTTCACATGGTGGATTACACTGTGTGTAGAGAGGCCATCTAATGAGGGCAGTCTTCTTGTCTTTGGAAGATACAGAGGATGAGGACACATCCTGAAGCCGGACTAATAGAGGAGAGCTGTCTATAATCCTGAGGCATAGAGGCACGAAGGTCAGGGCATGGATNGATACAGAGGATAAGGACACATCCTGAAGCCGGACTAATAGAGGAGAGCTGTCTATAATCCTGAGGCATAGAGGCACGAAGGTCAGGGCATGGATAGCGTGTCAGTTTCTGACATGAACAGCTAACATCCACCTGATGCAACACATGGACTCATGGGGTAGAAGAAGCAGGAGATGAACTTGATCGGGGCTCAATTTTGCAGGATGCTTGCTGACATTTTGAGCCCACAGCTGTGCCTACTCCAAGCAATTTCTCTGTCCTGTAATGACCTGACCTGGAGTAAACTTTGTTACTTTTTTACTCCTGTTTTTATAGTCCTTTTTATATGGTTTTACCCAGTTTGAGTTAAGAATAACTATACTAGGTAACTTGCTCCCAGGAAAAGAACTGGAAGTCAAATTCCGAGGCATAACCGCCTTCAGGGCAACCTAACTTCCTTAATTAACTAATATTAAGAAAAAAATTAGGCTAGTAAGTTTTTTTTGCAGAGCAAAGTTGGCTTAGTGATCAGAGAGCACAGAAGGGCCACAAAGCTTAATGCTGGAAACTCAGACTCTCTATCTGGGTCTCTAAATAAGACTGCTGTTTAGGGACTGACTAGTGCAGAGTTGGGATGGGCTTTAAAGCAGTAGTCACTAGGGTCTGGAACTCTGTTTTAGAGAATCACAGAGATGAGCATATGTTTTCATCTAACTGTTCATGGTTTTTCCAGCTTCAAGCATAATGCTACTCTGCCTACAGTCTATTGTAAGACCTTAAAGGGGTGATAGAATAATTCTATAGGATATTTGGTGCTAATCCTTAAGGTCTCTGAATAGGGTGTGTAACACTGGCTGGGCTGAAAATGGCATATTTGCTGTTCTATGAGCCCTAATGCAAGCCTGGTTAAAAGGCCGAGAATGAAACGAAAGGTTTACTTCCTTTTATGGTATGCTCATGAATATTTAGATGAGCTGTGTGCTGATTGGTTGGTTTACGAGCGAAAGTGCTGAGCAAAGACGCATCATAGCAACAAGCACTCACTGACTGAAACATCAGATTGTTGACATGGTAGGGGGACCAGACGTCCTCTTTTTCCCGGACATTTCCTACTTTTCATACCTAAAAAAAAATGTCCATGGGGAATTTAAAAATCATCTGGGATTTTGGTTGACAGTGCGGCACGTAGTTGAAACACACGGAGCGACCAAACCCGCCGGGGTTGCCAGACCAGTCCCGGAGCTGATGGCTTGGTTCCAGTGCCCGATCCAGTCAGCAGCCAGCAAACTGCCTCCCGTCAAAAAAAAAAAAATAAAGTTGTATGGTGGAAGTTTAGAATTGTGAGCTAATGTTGGGCCAAATGAAACCTGAGAAATTTAAATAGTGGCGCCTCCATCTACTGTTAGGAATGAGGAAATATTTGCGCAGGAGGAAACCTGTGAAGAATACTTACAAAATCTGCAGCAGCAAGAAGGAAGTAACTTTCTAAGTCTTAATGTAAAATTTAGACCATGGGGAAGTTTAGCAGCATGATGGAATATTGTAAATTGAATATGAATAATGTTAAAGTATTAGTATGAGTTTTCAATAAGAAAGATTCCTGATATAATCATGATTTCACAAAAGCTACAGGTCTCTGTTTAACAAGGGATGTTTTAAAGTGCCACAGTGTTCATGCTCATTTATAATGTTAAAATCTAACTGTTTACCGGAGAACAGATGGAAACTTTGTTCGAAGCTTATTTACACTCATATTTAAATAACAAACTCCCTGTGCACTTTATTAAAATTAATAACACAGAAACAAAAACACAAAATACAGCTGCTTTACAAGAAAATTAATTTGGATTTATAAGATAAAAACCCCCAGAAGAAAAGTGCTTAAAAGTGATAAAAACTAACTAACATCATGAATAAAAGCAGATTAGTTTTTTAAGTAAATCTTCACTCAGTGTTGAGACACAAACAGACTCCCTGCAGAACCCAGTGGGAGTGGTGCAGCGTAGTAAACAAGTCTGCTTCAAACACCAGTCCCACACCCATTGCATTCCTCCGCATCGATGTTGTGTACACTGGTGTCCTCAATGTATTCTGTGGGGAAAAGACATACAATGATACACAGAAAGAAAAAATGTACAAATCATATGGGAAGAGAGTATATAGAGGCTTTTATGCAGACCTGTAACCTAAGACGGCGTGTCTCGATGGGGATGATTCTCAGAATGGGCAGTTCAACCACCAAGACCTTCGGTTTACTTCTCATTAGACAGTTGTTCTCCATGTCCCAGTCTGCTCCCTCCAGGTACAGGCCAGACACAAAGCAGCCTGCAGCCAATGACACCTTTAGTAATTGGAATTAAAAACAAAAGAACAAAAAAACCCTACGTCTTGTATTACCTTGTTTGGGCCTGGCTGTGATTTCATCCTCACTGCGATACTGGGTCACTTCTGTGTATAAGGTAGAAAGATCCAGAGGCCAGCCGTTTGTCCTGCAGGCAGCTTGAACCAGGGCGGTCAGATAAGACTCTGGGACATGAAGTCCTGATAGCCACATGACTTTTGGCTCACCCTCATTCACCTGAAAAATGTATTTAAATGGTACTAGTGAGAATTGAATTTCTTATAACATTTCAATGGGCTGTTTGGGCATTTGTTAGCTTGACTGAAGATGTATTTCTAATATATGAAATTTATTTTTTTCTAATTAAATTAATATTTCAGACATCTGGAATATAATACTAGAGAAAATGACTTTTACTTCCAGATGTCTGAAATGACCTTCTTCCCATCTAAAGAAAAACATCCTGGACGGTGTTCTCACATGTTTAGTGTGTGCTGCAGTGTGGCTCCAAATGTTTAATTGTTGTCATGCAGCTCATAAGCAGCAGCTGGTCAGGCATCTTAAAAGTTACAGTCAGATTAGAAGAGCTGAGTGAAGAGGAGGGAACAAGCTTGTCATCCCTGGTCTATTTAATTACTGGATGTCTAAATTGATTCATTTTGTTTTAACTGAGCTTATCCTTGTTGTGATAAAGGTTTGGTTTGCACAAGGAAGCTTTATTAGAGTTGGAAAAATTCACTGCGCCCATGTAAAAAAGGGCTGGGATCTCTGTTGTTTGACTAAAGAAAGTGCAAATGACAACCTTCCAAACATTTGATTAAACAGGACAACATCCGTCATGTCTGGAGCAGGAAAGCTGTTCCATGACAGAAAGCAGGGGAAAAATCTTAAACTGGTGATTTAATAAAGAACAGAACTTGTAAAATGCTGCCTAAAGTGCCAATGAGGGTTTATGAAAGGATGGATGTCTAAATATTTTCAGAGCTAGTTGGATGTTGATTGGATAATTAAGTACATTGGTGAGCAGTCTTTAAAGCAGAAGTCCAGGCAGCAAGGAATACCCAAAGGATCATTATTTATACCTAAAACTAATATGATCGAGGTGATTTAATGAATTTAGAGTTAATCAGTAAAAATATAAAAAAAATAATATTTGGTGTGATCACTGAGTCTGGGAGCGGCCATCTTTGCCCACATATAGTAACCCCTCCCTCCTGCCATCTTCCAGCAGTGACGTCACGGTG